AAAAAATTCATTGAGATGTGTCATATAAGATTGTTCTAGTTTTTCACTTTCCTGTAATATAAATTTTTTATTCATTATATATCATAATAAAAAATAAAAAATTTATTTTCATTATATTAATTAAATATATTATTTAAATTTTTTAAAAATGTACATACTTTCTGTTTTTCGTTAGTAATATTTAATTTGCATCTAGACATATGAAATTGCAACTGATTAAATTCTGCTGCAGCTTGTTCCAAAATGTCTACTTTAACAGGATTTTCAAGGAATGTATTTAAACATAAAATAGATGTAAGTTTATTTAAAGATTTATAGATATATTGTAAACTGAATATACTTTGCTTATAATCTCGAACTTTCTTATTTTCATTTATGTTATGAGTAATTGTCACAACTTCATCATCTAAAATCTGCTGTACTTGCTATAAAAAATTATTATTAATAATATTGTACAAAAATTAGAAATTAGATATTTTTTTTTTTTAATTTACCATTACTTCTTCTCTTAGTTGACCTAAAGGTGTTTGTAAATCATTAATAGCTTTATCTAAACCAATCATATTACTTGATAAATTTACAAAATCTATATAATCTTTATTGATTAAATCAATCATAGCAGATCTTAATAATTTTAAATATATTCCAAGATCATCTCGCATTGTTTCTAATTTTGTATTTTTTCTATGTTCTTGAAGAAAAGCATCCACATTAAAATTTTGCTATAAAATATAAATTGTTGATTTAAGATAATATTATGATAAAATATTACAATTTAAAATAATCTTAATGTTAATTTACCTGAATAAAATCAATTTCAGAAAAACATAAATCTTTTGGAGCTTTTGGTAAATTAATATTTTCCTTTGACATGATGGTTTTTTATTAATATTTTTCTATAAAAAAATATGTTTTAAAATATAAATTAAATATAAATTCTTAAATTTATAATTATTTATTAAAATATTTAATAATAATAAATAATACTATATTGTAAAAAAATTGATATTTAAAATAACTTAAAAATATTTATAAGACAAGATAAGAATTCTTATGATAACTTTCTCATGAATTATAATTTATGTTAGAATAAATATTTTTGTCATTAATAATTACAAATATTTAAAAATTATTCTTTAGAATTATAATTATTCTTAAAGAATTTAAAATATTTAAAATATGAAAATCTTATCAAAAGTTTGATTAAACTTTATTTTGGAGCATTAAAAATTGTTACTTTTTTTTGTACCTTTTAAAAGTTTTTGACGAACAATATTAAAAAAAGTTAATTTTAAGTTTATAAATCCACTGATTTAAAACTTAATCATACGTAAAATTAATAATGTTAAGTATATTTGACAGATTACTAGAACATCATATTGATTGGTATCCAAATTCGTCCAGTGAAAGAAGTTACTGTTTGCATGGATAATAATTAAGTGCGATAAATCAAATTTGGCTTATACAAATTTTCATATATTTTGTTTTTCTGATTGCTCTACAATATGTATAATTATATTCAATTTTAAAACTTTATTTTTTAAAAATAATTTTAAAAAATTTTTAAATCAAAATAATAATTATTACTAATATCGCCGGCTAAGACAGCTGGAAAAATAATTAATCCAACTTAGTAATTTTGAAAATATATAATCTAATGCCTATCACAGCCAACATATAGATAATTATTCCACTTATTATTATTATCCATGAACTTTGGAAACCAATAAGGCATCCTAGTAACATATCAAATGCTTAAAAAGCATTAACTTTACATATGAATAATTTTTGAATCATTGAATTTTTAAATTTAAAATTAACATTTTTTAATTCTAATTATTAAAAGAATATTAGAGAAAAGAAGTATTATAAAAGAAGATACAAAAAAATTTATTTTTATGAAAAAAGTTTTAAAAAAATTAATTTTTCGAATTTCGAAGTAAAGTTTTGTCAAGAGTTTACTTATATATTAACATTAAAATAATTTTTAATCTTTAATTCTTAACTTAGTTGTATATAGGTATGTATATAGATACTATGTATAAATCATACGCACGCGTACAATACGACTAAACGAATGGAGGAACAGCAATTCATATTCGTGATCAACAATAAATATCTGCATTTGCATTAATGAGAAAACAGTGCAGTAAAACAAAATTTAACAAAAAAGAATTTATAGTGTTTTGTTCTGAAAAAATTTCAGTAAAAAAAATACTAGGGTATTTTCAAAGACAATAGCTGTGAACCATCGTCAAGAAACTTGACAAGTTTTACTACATTTAGTGAAATTTATTTTCAAAATGGCAGCTACGAGAAGATTGCAAAAGGTAAATCAAAATTTCTGTCAATAAGAATGATTATATATTGAATTTATTATATGAAAAAATATTATAAAAAATTCGTATTTAAAATTCCTTGATCATCATATATGAATAAATTTTCATATTATTTTAAATATTATGATATTTCATGATGATATAGAACAGTAGTACTTTTACTATTATTTGTTAATAGTTATTCTTATTATATTCAAAATTTTTTATGATAAGAAATCAAGTATTTTATTATTTATTTAAAATATATATTATTATTTTTCTTAATAATAATATTGATAGCAATTTTATTTTTGCAGGAACTTGGTGATTTAAGAGCTTCAGCAATGAAAAATTTTACAAATATTCAAGTAGATGAATCGAATATTCTTACTTGGCAAGGTCTTATATTGCCGGTATGTTTTGATGTTCCTTTTTATTTTAGAGATATAATTTAATCTAATCTAACCTAACCTAATCCTATTTGTAAAGACAACTATAGTTAGATATACGCAATGCTGTACTACAATTTGATTTTGGAAAGATTGGAATGATTGTATATGTCGTTTTCAAAATTTAACTGGTAACATAATGACATACAAGTCTTAATTACATTTAAAGTATGTTTTTTTTATTATTCCTCTTTCAGAAATGTTTATCACTTTTACTTCTTTTAATGTTTTAGGATAATCCTCCATATAATAAAGGAGCATTTCGTATTGAAATAAACTTTCCTGCAGAATATCCTTTTAAACCTCCAAAAATAAACTTTAAAACAAAAATATATCATCCAAATGTGGATGAAAAGGGCCAAGTGTGTTTACCAATTATAAGTGCAGAAAACTGGAAACCAGCTACAAAAACAGATCAAGGTAAAACTTTATTTGAATTTGTTTATCCATATAAGAAAAGAAGTAACATATAATTGATTTATTATACTTATAGTTGTGCAAGCTTTGATAGCATTAGTGAATGATCCTGAACCAGAACATCCATTAAGAGCAGATCTTGCAGAAGAATTTTTAAAAGATAGAAAAAAGTTTTTAAAAAATGCAGAGGAATTCACAAAAAAACATGCAGAAAAAAGGCGGGAATCATCTTCTAATGAATAACCACGAGTGATCAATTTTACTCACCATGATGCCTGCCACCTGTCACCTAATTTAATTCAAACAAATATAGACTTCTCTGTTACATGAAAAACAAGTTGATTGAAATACATGTGTACAGTATTGGTTAACTATCGACAATGATATTATGTGCAAATTGTAATGTTTATAAAGTGAATTAACAAATTTTTCAGAGTAAAGTAAAAGTATAATAAACTGTATGATATTGTATACAATTTGTATTTTGAAGTTGTATTTTATGGACAATCCATATAATTTTAAAAAGCATAAATATGCAAATTGCTCTTTTTTGCTAAAGCAAAATTACAATTTATTGTGAAAAAGTATAATATTATAGAATAATGCATTTATTTCTAATATTAGAAAATATATTATGAATGTGTTGTGTGAAGTTATAGGTAAACTTTGGTTCACATCAATTAAATACAAAATCATTAAATGATTATTGTAAATGTATATATAAAATTTAGCTAATTGCTAAATTGATTATATTAATTTTGATTGAAAATATTTTTCTTAATACTATATTGAAAATATAATTTGATGCATTTAAAAATATTTTTAATTATTTTAAAAATATATAGAAAATTGATTTGTATGATTTGATGTTATATTTGCAAAATTACAATTGAATTACTTTAATTACTATCTTTATTTTTTTGAAATAACATTATTTCATTAAATAGCAAATAATTGAATTAATAATTTTATTAATTTGTTACTTTATGTGATATATTATATTGTAGAATAATTCAACTGTAAACTCTGCAATATTGATATTAGCATTTACTACAATTTTAAATATAATTATAATATATTATATATTATAATGTATAATAGAATTGTATTTAACTTCTTGACGTCTATTATTCCAAGTATATGCTTTATAATTTTAAATATTAATTGATTGTCATTTTACTTATACTGTAAAATTTTATTTTTATAATTTAGACGTTAAGAGGTTAATTTAATAGGAAATGTTAAAAAATGGAATAACAAAGGATTGGATAGAATTAATACGATATTCTTATATTTAAAATGTGTCGAAACTAAAGATTGCTTTTACAGGGTTTTATTTTTTATTTAGTTTGCGTAAGAAAGGGTAAAACCTTTTGTTTAAATATTAAAACTCTATATTAATAAATAAAGGTATAAATGGAAATAAAAATATGATGCATTTCGCATGTTTTTCATTTCATTTCGTCAACATACGAGCTCATAATAATACGGTCTTTAATCATAATTTTTGTCTCATTCCTTTATTAAGTTCTTCGTCTTTTATATAAACTGCGCGCACTCTTTTTTTTATTTCACCATCTGTGACATTGTCTCTTTTTTTTATTTCCGCATCTGTTACAAATTCGTAGAGATTCCACTTTTGGCATACTATAATAAATATTCTGCGATTTAACGAAAAATTGGATTAATTCAATTGTAATAAAATAATTGATGAGCTAGGTGGAAGAGGTGGAGCTCGCAGAAAACTTACTAAAATCATTACTTGTATTCTAAAGTTTTAGGATATGGAAAATGATTAAAATAAAGTAATCAAATATTAAAATGAGGCAAATATATTCTTAGATATACATTCACATGTTTATGTACACACATAATAGATAATCACGAATGTAAATAAAATCTTCGTATATAACACTAATAATTTATCACTATATCCGTGTAGATTTGTTTTTGATCATAGATACATATGTAAATAGATTACAAATATAAAAAAATGCTGAATCATAACACACATAACGAATGAATCAATTTTAACGATAACAAATTTCATTTATTACTAATAAATGTTTGTATATAACGTATATTCAACTGAATCCTGTTGAACTTAAATTACAATTTTCTATTATAGTAAGTATTTTTATATATTTAATTAAATCAATCATATAAATACAAAATATGATATCAATCATATAAATATGAAATATGATAAAATGAATTCAAGGAAGAGGATATCAAGAATTTTACAGAATATATTTTTGTAAAAAACTTACTTTGATACTTGAAAATATATATTCTAGATCATTCAATTATCTTCATGTCAACCTTTTCCACCAAACTAGCCAATTATTAAACACATTTATCTATTTTTTTAATTTCGAGGCAATCGACATCAATTAATTTAAATTTATAAAATCATTTTTTCTTTATGCAATTCTATTTTAAATTTTAGGTTTTGAGATAAATATAATTATTTTTAAGATTAACATGTAGTAAATACTATATATAATAACTATATTTAAAGTAAACAGATAATATAAAAATTTATCAAAACCCAAAACATAAAATAGAAATTGATTTATATAAATAATTAATATAAATTAATATAAATGGAATGTTAAATTAATAATTTATCTTTTTTATATTATGTAATGTGTTTATGATGTGGAATGCCTCGTTCGTGATCATCTTAATTACGTTTATAAAAAAATACTAGAGATGATAACAATTTTCAATGAATTAATGAAAAACTGAAGATGTAACATATAAGTTGATAAAATATAAGATAATGAAAAGATATTTAAAGAAATAGATACTATTATAGATTACTTACATGTTTGTACAGATCCAACATTTAAATTCGAGCATTAAGCAACATACGTATATACCTTCCTATAATTAAATTATTATATTAAATTATAATATTAATATTAAAAATATTATATATTAATATTATTATATTATATTATAGATATATATAGATATTATATTATAGATATTAATATTAAAAATAATTGCTAAAAATAAAATGAATAATAATTATATAATAATAATTACACAAACCTATCTTCCGGCGTACGAGCCAAATATTCACGTTCAATTAAACCTTCAATACGTTTTTTAATTATTACAGGCGACGGCAAAAATCGACCTCTTAATTGTTCTGTTACTTCAGTTACAAGTATATTGTGCTAAAAAAATATAATATAAAATAAAAATATATTAAAAAATATTAAAATAATAAATCATAAGAATAATGCTACATAAATGCTACATACAGGCATACGCTTTCTATCTTTCATAATGCGAACAATAGCTGCTTCTATTTCATGTTTTCTGTCCTCATCTACTTTGTTGCGAGTTTCTCTTCTTTCAGGTTCTGATTCGCCTTTTGCAGCTACTGTTTGAATCTTTACTCTAAAATAAATTATAAATAATTTATAAGTAATATAAAATAATTAAATAAATTGATTTAATAATATTTTCATTTACAAATTTGTTAACTTATTATATCGATTTTGATTTATTGTAAATAAGATACCTATGTAATTTACTGGTAAAACTGTCGTTAACACAAAAATAATGTGAAGGTTCTATTTCCTTTGTACGAGGATGTTTTAATAACACTCTTTGTGTAGCTTTTCCCATTGCGAGAGATTGTAATGCTCTAACCAAGTCTCTCTCTGGAATATCGGTTTCACCTTGAATTTCCTACACAACGTTTTATATATTGTATACATAATCACGAAGACTTCAATATTTTTCAATAAAAATCGGAAAATAAAATTAAATATTCAAACTAACCTCGTAAGTCAATTTTTCTCTTTTGTTGAAAAGCATTAATACACACATTTGATAAGTTGATACTTGAATGATGTGTTTTCTGGTATTTCCACAACTGTTGCTACGTTGACTTAAAATACTACCATTAGTAGATATTCCAGTACCATACAGATTACCACTTCCATTGCCAATGGAACTTGAAGACGATGGTGTATCTAAGCCACCGCAATTACTTTCTTCTCTTCGTGGTCCATGAAATACAGCATTTAAATCTGCAGAACCTAAAAAGATTATATTATCAAATTTATATTATCAAAATTAAAGACATAAATAAAAAGATATTAATTAATTTATATAATTATATTAATTAATTAACCTAATTGTGGTTGTAATGTTAATTGTCGACCACTATGTTTAGCAAGATAAAAACGTCGGAAAGCATCAAAAGCATCTCGTGGAGCAGCTGGCATGCTACATTTTGGAGTTGCGGATTGCGTCGGCCAAAAACCGGTTGTCAAAACTCTTACACTTATATCCACTCCATGTAGGTTTGTCTATAAAATATAAAATTGAAAGTATAAAAATTAATTATTTATGAAATAATTATAAATATTTTAACTTATAAATGCTTACATTGGATGTAAGGACATGATCTTTAAATTCATCCATAATAGTATTACTAACTGTTATATCTTTGAACATTCCCTCCAATTTTGATGTGAATTGACATCCACATTCAGTCTAAAATAATTAATTATTAAATAATCTATATTAATAAATTAAAAAAAAAATTACCTTAAGTTTAGATATCATGTTTTTCTCGCTATCATCAGACACAGATTTATTCAAAAGAAGACGTTTAGCTAAGTGCTGTTTATAATATCGTTCAAATACATCTTTTTCTTGAAGAAATCTAAATAAAACCATAGTTTTATCCAAGATACCTTCGATTTCCTGTTCTGTCATCTAAAAATATATATTAACATAAACATTGATTATTATATACAATTGTACTATTTAGATTAGGAATTGAAATAAAAGATAAAACTTATATATTTTATTTAAATACAGCAATCCTTTGTAGATAGATGTAAGATATTTATTAAAGTTTTATGATATTATCTACCATAAAAATTTATTTATAAAAATAAACAGTTAAACTAACCCCTTTAACACCTTTTTTCAGCTTATCATCAATGAAAAGTGAAAGATATTCTGGACTTTTTGTATTTAAATTGAGAAAATATTCAAAGTCAGATGCAATCATTTGTTTATAATTCTTATCATTATTAAACGAATAATGAAGAAAATGATCAAAACGATCTTTTAAATCTAGCAAGTTCTGAATAAAAAGAACTGCATTTGTCGTTGATTCATGTTCCTCTTGAACCATAGCACGGCCTTGCTCTTTAAGAAATTGAGAAACACAATCACACACAGTACGTAAACCATCCGAAACTCTCGAAAATAATTTATACATGCAGCCAAGATCTTCAGTTTTTTGGTTTTTGAGCATATGTACTACACCACTATTTTCCATCTTCAAATAAAAAGATAAATTGTTCTAATTTGTTATTTATATTTATCGTTTTTTAAATTGTCACAATAATATTAAATATTATGTTAATGGGATAATATTATATTTATACCTCAACAATAGTTTTCATATGAATTTTAATTAGTTCTTCTTCTACAACTTCTACTATTCGTGGTTCAGTAGATTCATCTAAATAATGTTTTGCTCTTTCTGATTCTTCACAAATTCTAGCTTCAACTTTTTTTATATATACTGATGCACTATTTTCAGCCAAAAATTTTTGAGATTCCATCTAAATCAAAAAAAGAAATATTAAAAAATAATATTATATGATATAAAATTAAATAATTATATATATTATAAATCAAATTAAATAATAATATTATAAAATTTAAAAAAAGTTTTCTTACTCTATAAAATTCAGCACTTTGTTGTAAAAAAGGCCTTTCAAAATCTTCTTCATAAACTTGACGACTGTTAATGCCAAGTAACATTAACATTTGGCAGGCATTTTTTATTGCAATGCGATCTACAACTTCTCCTCTTCTTTCTCTTGCTACCATGCCTAGTAAAGTTTCTCTTAAATGATCTCTAACACATCCATATCTGACCACCTAAAAATAAGATAATTATTTATTATAAAATCTTTATTAATTATTCTAGCTTTTGAAATAAGTGACAATCATTTACCTGATCTCTAAATATGATAAGTCCTAAATTATACACATTGTCCACATCATGTTGTTGTACATAAACTCTATCCATGTACATTAAAATATCTCTTATCATTACCATAGATGTCTGATGATCATTCCAAGCTTGATTTAATGTTTGAAGAAAATTGTTGTGAAGAGATCTTAATACATCTTCTCTAACTTTATTTTCTAAATGATGTGTTACAACTTCTTTTAAACCTGTATATAAACGTTCACCATACTTGTGAAGAACCATAGTATAAGCATTCCGATAAAGCTCTTCAAAACTAAGCCCTGAATTATTTTTCTTCTGAATTTCTTGAATAGCATTTTTTAATAGTGCCCAAATACTTTCTACATACTTTTCATCCATAGTTGTCTAAAAGAAAATTAATAAATTAAATATTTGATTTATTAAATTTATATTGATTATTAAAAATTAATGTAAATAATGTTTGAGAATTAAAATTAATTTAATAAAAAATCAAAAACAGGTGAGAATATTATTACAAATAATAAATTTTATTAAAAAAATCAATGGAATTGAATTATATATAATATAGTTTTTAATATTAATAAAATATAATTGATATAGAATAATATCTAAAAAGAATATAATTATATATTATATTAGAATATTTTGAATGTTCAAGTATTCTTAGCTTCATATTTTAACCTTTTTTTTCTTACATTAATTATTTTAACATTGCCTTTATTACATAAAAGAAATATTATGAATATTAAATAAATAACAATGCTTAATTTATCAATATTATTTTGTCATTGTACAAATACAAATTTTATGCTTTATTGCTTTATTAGATAAAAGTAAATTATGTAATAATAATAACAAATACAAAGAATATTTTACTAGTCAATTATAATTATAAGATATGATCACAAAGAATATTTCATTAGTATTTTAAATATAATATTAAAATGTTATTTGATCAATTTTTAATGTCATATTATTTAGCACAGGAGATATAATTTTTACAATCACAATTTAGTGGACAATAATCACAGTTCCAAACTTTATTGACAGAATAAACTGAAATTCATTGATAAACATGATAATATTGAAATATTTATATTTCATTGCTTTTATTTTATATGCCACTATAGCAACTGCTGATACATTCATCTTTGTGACAATATATACAACATTATAAACATGATTCTTTAAAGTTCAAAGACACAGTATATTGATCATAAATAACATCTAAATTATGATACTATGCGTTGTTATCCTATAAAGTACAAAAAGAAGAGTTTTTGTAAAAAATCAGGTGATGAAAACTATTTTTATAAATTATTCTATTTTTTTATAATTTGACATGTAATTAAAAAGAACTGATTATATATAAATGTATATATACGCATAAATTTGAATAGCATATATTTATTAGTTTATTTATAGATATTAAATAAAAATAAAAAAAGAAAAAAAACAAAATATAAGAACAATTAAATTTTAAGAGATAAAAACGAATGAAGGCTAGAAAGAAAAAACAAACGAAGCCATACTCACCGGAAAAGCACGTATGCGCATTTTGCTTTCTTTCTTAAGCATAGCACTGCTCTTCATCATGTCGAATTTCTAGTTGAACGGAGATTCTTTTAGAACGAAGATTCTTTTAGCTCTCTGGCCAATGCTATAATAACGTTACACCGTGTGTACATTGACACCAGTTAAACGTAGGGAGCATTCATTCGCGTACAAGGTAGAATAGCCGACGATCGGCTATTGCGTGAAAATATGATCACTCATCCACGTTCACGTTATGTAGGAGAGTCAAAAATTGTTGTTATCATGAACATTTAGTAAAAGAAAGAAAAATATAAGATGTATCGGTGAAGAGGGGGAAAAAAATGAAAAACTTAGAAAAAGATAGACAGGAAAGGGAAATGGAGAGGAAAGAAAGGGTAAAAAGTATTCTCTTTTTATCCGGTAGATGAAAATGGGAGATAAGATACTCAAGGGTTGAAATATAAAGGGAAAGATGAATATGAGAGGAAAATAGATAAGGAGGTTGAACTAAGGTGAAACAAACGAAAAAAAAAAAAAGGAAAAATCACACACTCCTGTCACGAAGCGATGAATCTGTCAAATTTCAATAATACACACAAATTTTGATGATTTTTGAGCACATTAACGTAATTGTCGGTACGTTCTCAGCGTCTTTCGAGGCATAGTGAATTTAGATTGTGAAAACTCGAGTTTTCATCCTATGATCCGATATTGAGTACACAATATATCATTCACAACGATATGTTCCATGCACATGAATCACGAACACTGTTGTCAGTATAGATTCGCTCAGTACAAATTTCATTATTTTACAGCGCCATGAAAAGAAGCTATTTTTTTTATTATATATATTATTCATTTATATCACTTTAATTTCGAATTTAACAAATTTATTAATTAAATATCATAAAAATAATATTTTTAATTCAATTTGTTTAATAACTATGAAAATTACTCGCAATTAGAAGTAGCTTACTTCAGACTAGTATTTTTATCATATTCATGAATTTTATTTCTTAAGTAAAATCAATCATATTACTTTTAATATCTACATATTATTAATATAAATCTAAATTATTAACTTACTTAATATTAGTAAGTTATAACAATAATCCTTCGAACCAATTTAATATATTCTTTTTTTAAAGAACGCTTCACATGAATAATTTTGTATGAACGTTTGTCCCTGTATTCATAGATCTATTTATACTTCTTTGTCGTAATTTAAAAATCCGGAATTATTTAATTTTTAAGAAAATTTTATAAAAAAATTAAAAAAAAATAGTAATTAATATTGTGAAATATTATTAAATAAAATTAATATATATTAATTTTTGAAAGATGATATTTTTTTATCTTTTTTGAAGTAGACAGTTATTTAATATATTATTTAAAAATTGGTTAAATAATAATAATTGGTTAAATAATAATTTTAAATTAAATTAAATTAAATTAAAATAAAATATAATAATATTTTAATTAAATTAAACTAAAATAAAATATAATGTAAATGTTTTTGTATCACATGTACATTATTATATGACATATATGTTTTATTTGTACTAACCTTATATTTGTTTTATGAATGTATTTATAAAATGTAAATAGTAATCTGAAGGATAATGGAAATCATTATTTAATGATATTCAGTTAATGTCCATTTTTTTTAGTTTTAGTTGAAAATAGTAATAGAAAAATTTAAATATCATACAATGGAATTGATATCAATGTCGAAATGCTTAACTTGTTTATTAATTTTTTAGAAAAACAAAAAAAAATGACAGTTTGTCTTAAATTTTGAAGGTTATTCGAATTATTTTTAAAAAAACTGTGTAATTTATATATAAATATGTTTAAGAGAAGTACCTGCATTTAAATTTCCGTACATAAACATAACTTATCTATAGTAGTACAAATTTCAAAGATTATATAGAAATATGATAGATAAGAAATATCATTAATATAATATATCATTAATAGTTATTAATATCATATTTCATCATTTAAAGATTTATTATAAACCTTATATATTTGTTATATTTATCTATTTGTTATTTTATTATATAAAATACTATTTAGTGAAAGTAATGTTCGCGGATTGTTTAAAGTTAAGATCATATAAGATCATATAAAGAATCGAAAGTATATATATATTTAAGACATAAAAATACAAATATTTTTTGATAAAGAAATTTATTTTCATCGATAAAAAAAATCTATTACGGAAACTTCTTGTAAGTTATATAAAGTATAGATAAGAATAATAAATATAATAGTAAATACGATCGAAATACAACAATAGAAAATATATTAAGATAATTTGGACAAGATTGCCATGTTTTTTTGCCACCATCTTAATAAAGCGAACGTGCATTTTATAAGAAGGGCTTGTATCAAATCTTGTAGTAACAATATTGTTTCCTCACAAATATTATTGCCAAAAATTCATCAATCATTCAATAATTCAACATTTTTATTCGTTAAAACATTTAGTAACATTTCTTCTATAACAATGACTAAAATACAGGTAAGTAATTAATAAAACTGCATTATTGACGTCTGTATATATATATATATAATATATATTGTGTGTGTGTATATATATATATATATATTTCAATTAATTAAAATTTTTTTGTATTATTTTTTTAACAAATTTTTTAACTTTAACTTAATTATTTTGAAAATAACTTTCTTTTTTTTTTATAAATAAAAATAAATATAAAATAATATTTATATATTATGATTTGATTTTGTATTAATTTTTTTATATATAATGCATTCTATATATTATTACTATTTATTTTAGGTTGGATCTGTTGTTGATATCTTAGGTGATGAAATGACAAGAATCATTTGGGATTCCATTAAAGAGAAACTTATTTTACCATTTTTAGATATTAAATTACATACTTATGATTTGAGTATTGAAAATCGAGATGCTACTAATGATAATGTGACTATAGAATGTGCTGAGGCTATTAAAAAATATAATGTAGGAATCAAATGTGCTACTATTACTCCAGATGAAAAAAGAATGAAAGAATTTAAATTAAAAAAAATGTGGAAAAGTCCGAATGGTACTATTAGAAATATTTTAGGTGGTACAGTTTTTCGTGAACCTATTATCTGTAAAAATATACCAAAATTATTAAACAATTGGATTCAACCAATTATCATTGGCAGACATGCTCATGCAGATCAATATAAAGCTGTAGACTTTATAATACCTGGTCCAGGAAAACTTGAAATTATATGGACTGGAGATAATGAACAAAAAATTCAACATACAGTTCATAATTTCAAAGGACCCGGCATTGCTCAAGCTCAATATAATACAGATGAGAGTATTCGTGCTTTTGCTCATAGTTCTTTTCAATATGCTTTATCAAGAAATTATCCTTTGTATCTTTCTACAAAGAATACAATTCTTAAAGAATATGATGGTAAATTTAAAGATATTTTTCAAGAAATATATGACAAAGAATATAAAGCACAATTTGAAGCCAAGAATATTTGGTACGAGCATCGTTTAATAGATGATATGGTAGCATATGCAATGAAATCAGACGGTGGTTTTGTATGGTCTTGCAAAAATTATGATGGTGATGTTCAATCTGATTGTGTAGCACAAGGCTATGGATCCCTAGGTCTGATGACTTCAGTTTTAATTTGTCCAGATGGACGTACTGTGGAAGCTGAAGCTGCTCATGGTACAGTTACAAGACATTATCGACAATATCAACAAGGAAAGGAAACTTCAACAAATCCCATTGCCTCTATATTTGCATGGACAAGAGGTTTACTTCATCGTGCAAAATTGGATAATAACAAAGATCTTAAACATTTTTCAGAAACATTGGAAGCAGTTTGTATTAATACTATTGAATCAGGTTTCATGACAAAAGATCTTGCAATTTGTATCAAAGGCATGAGTAATGTTACTAGGTCTGATTATTTAGAAACGTTTGAATTTATAGATAAGTTAGCAGAAAATTTGCGAAAACAAATAAAAGTAAACTGACTAGAATATCTTTCTAATAAAATGTTATCAAAATATTAATTATATCCTTAAAAAAAATTATTATTAATGGTTATGGGAAAAGAATATGCATTTAGATTACAAAAATAAAATGTAATAATATAAATAAAGTTGAGATTAATATATTGTAATTATAATTTTTGTAAAAATATATTCATCAAATTCTGTTTTGATATTATATGTACATATATATTTTTTTAATATCTTTAAAAATTATAAAAAATTAATTTTTATTCTTTTTACTTTCCTTTCACGAAAAAAAACATGATAATTCTTTTTCAAACATTAATATTAAATATTATTATATTATTATTAATACTAAGTTATATATATTGTAATTATTAAATATTATTTAAATATTTAAATTATATATTTTTTCTTAAATATTTCATTAATCTTAAATAATATAATAAATTGATAATAATTTAATATATTTAAATTTCTTATAAAGTTAACTGAAAATTTTATTCACATGAATTTGTCATTTGATCTTTTTATTTAGTAATTTTTATTTCATATATCTGTAAATTGATTTCATTCAAAGTATATTATTTGTAAGAATTAAAAAAGAATAATATTA